AGCCGAGTCCTGCTTGCTATTTGCTGTCTGGCGCCAATCAGGAGGTGGACGAAGGCAGGAAGCCTACCGGATCTCTGTGAAAAATCTGATAACGTGGCAGTTTTAAATATGGACAAGACAAAATTTAGGGTATAAAACTCTACTTTTTAGATGGACTTTCTATTTTACGTAATGGCTAAGTCTTACAATTTAGTATCTAACTAGCAAACATGTTTGTGCGTTGCAACGAGATTTAATATGCACAGGAATCAGACTTCATATCGTTGCTACATGTGCATTGTTCTAACCACCGTGAGAAAACTATTGAGTTTTAGAAAAAAAGAATCGGAAGCCACCTTGATTAGGGGACTCCAGTTTGGAAACAAATTGGAAACAGAAAACAAATCAGAAATTAAATAACGGTTAGACGTGAGTTATTCTAATGTATATGAGCACGGCTTATGAGCAGGTCACATACACGACACGATATGTTTTGAAATCGGACTCCTTAGACAAGAACTACTCTAACTCATATGAGCACGGGTTATATATAAATTCGGACAGAAGAAATTCTTCACTGTCCGGTAGTTAGAGGGAGACGGATAAAAAAATAGATGGACCAAAAAATGAGCTGAAATATTACCTCTTTATTAATAGGTATAGGTATAGATTTTATCTAGTCTCTTGGAGTGCATTCAAACTAAGGCCATGTTCGTTTGTTGGTTTCAGCCATGGTACAGTATTTTTCTCTCACAACAAACCAGTATGAGCCGGGCTTATCAGCCCAGAAACCAACCAGCGAATAGGGCCTAAATATAGATTTCAAACTAAATTACATCAAGCTCCATAAGTCAGCCATGATGACCATCCTATATACATACGGACTTGAATTATACCACAGCCCAAAAGTAGTGTTATAGATATCTAAAAATACAAAAATACCATTGGAAGGTAGGATGATAAAAAAATTCTAACAGAGATGATGAATCGTTGTTTCTCGTTTGCTCAAATGAACGTCGGTTGGTATTCTTATTTTGTTTTACCGTTGGATGATCCGTCAGAAAACTGATATTTGGGTCTAGCCATCCGTCGGGACATGTGGACTCGGCTCTTGCGCGCTTGGCTGGCCCAATTCGCGCCTAATTTGCGATTGATAAAAGTAAAAACTTATGGAAGGAGAGAAAAGAAAGAGCAATAAACATATGAATAGTAGCGGGTAGTGCATCAAACATGCTCCCACAGGGCACAGCTATTCAAGTAGTGCTAATTTATCTTCTTGTCTCTCTTTGCATGTATTTTTGTTTGAGTTCAAATTTTACATTTACATAAATGATATCATCCTCTATCCATCCATATTTTTGTGTGAATTTTCAAGCTCTGGCTTGGTGCTACCATGTTTGTTCCTACATATTTATATCGGATATGTTTTGATATATTCTTTTGAAGGAAAGGATGTCTTCTTTAACATAAATAGACAATCAACACCACTAGGAATCAATGATTTATAATAAATGATAGCATATCCTACCCATGTATCCATATCTCATTACTTCAGATTAAAGATTTGAAACATCAGCCCTAGCATTAATAATGTCTCATATATACTATACTAGTACTAGTAGTTGATCCTGGCTTTCCATTCATTCCTACATAGAGATAGAGAAGCACACATATACTCAAGTTCATGCATATATAGAACATCAAGGTATTAATTGGAGCATATCCTGCTTCAAAGTTCTCTGAATATAAATAGACACTCAACACCAGTATAATAAATGATAGCATATCCTACCCATAGATTGGAGCATCCATATCTCATTATTTGAGATTAGAAGATTTGAAATACTAATATCATCCCTAGCATGCATTACATTGAAGTCTCATTCCTACATATACATATAGAGAAGCACACATGACACACATACTCAAGTTTATAGAACATCAAGCTTGCTTTGGCTTTGCTAGTTCATTCAACTAGCTAGAGAGATGCACCAAGATGACAGCTGGGAAAGTAGCATTGCTCCTCCTGGTCGTGGCTGCGGCAGTTTGTCTCGGTTCTGTGAGTGGTAGTGTGTGTACCCCGCAGGAGAAGGACCGCCTCATTATTGTCTGTGCCATAGTCATCAAGAAGGGGGCACCACCTGGTTGGATCCTTGAGGCCTGCTGTCGGATGGCATTAGAGAAGCAGGCAGCAACCGATAAAAAATGGTTGGACTGCATCGTCAGTCTTCTTACGGACAAAGAGAAGCAGAAATACGACGAATCCAAGATCCGAGACCTTCAAACAAAGTGCCCACCGCTTGGTCCTACCCCGGCATTTGATCCGGTAAAAAAAAATACATATAGTTAATGCATGTATATATATTTGTGCTGCAACTTGTAATATGCATGCATGTGCGATAAGGTACTAAACCGTGTTTTCCCTGATGATAGCAGGTCACGGTGTAAGCAGACTCATGCTATTGCTCATGGAGGGCTTGCGCATGCATGCATGTCCGTGATAAGAAGCTTTAGAGGAGATACATACATACTCCTACATGTATCTGATCTTTCATTGAACAACAATAATATGTGCTGGCCGGTATTGATCTCTGTGGTGTCATTGCGTCTTTCTTAGGGTAGTCTAATGCAGAAACCATATAGTACAGTTTCTATATCATAAAAACATTTGTATAAGTGTGCTCGGATAAAAATCTAGTCAATCATTCATCCCTCGTTCGCTCTTCCATGGGCTATCTATCTTCTCCTAGTCCTTTCCCACCTTAGATAAAGCACTGGCACTGGCGGGCGAGCTCTGTTGGCGGCCAGCAGTGAGCGGCTCTCGCGCGGCCAATGGGGAGTGAATCGGACATGGCCTGCGGCGAGTGGCCGGCGCCTAGGGGCAGCAGCGCGCAGGGCCTACGAGCGGCGACTGCAGGGGGGCTTGTACTCACGCGAGCAAGGACACGGGTGGCTAGTGTAGACCTAAGCGAATTGAGCCTGGTCCGGCCCAAGCCCACTAGGTTTTGGCCCACCCACGAGTTTTAGTGGACAGGGCCTGTTACCTAGAAATTTTTTTCTCGGTCCGAGCCTGGTCAGTAATATTTATTTTAACTATTTTACACTGCTCATAGTGCGGGTGGTCTGCCCAATCCTAGGCCCAGTCTAAGCCCGACCTGAAAAATCAAGCCCGACAATTAAAAAAAAACAAAAATCAAGCCCGACTCGCCTAATAGAACAGTCATGGGTGGAATATTTTTATTTGCCCGAAACAACCAGGCTTTTTTCAGCCCAGCCCGAACCAAACGCAACCTATAAAATGCTCAGGTCTAGGCTAGTGCTCGGCAACAACGAGCTGCGGCGGTGCGGGCCAGACAAAGCACGGACATAAAGATAATATTTTATATAAATTGACCTAATAGTTGGTCAGAATGTGGAGGGTAATATGGGCAATAGAATCCTTCGACCAGCTAAAATCTCAAGTTAGAATCCAAAGATTCAAACGGGCTAGGTTCAAACAGTTTTTTTTTAGCAAGCTAGATTCAATCAAACAGTAATAAAGCCATCCTCCATCTGTCCCTAACAGCGTCCTAGGATGGGCTTTGCAGTCTGATTCGGACCGGACGCATGTTACCTGAAGGCTGGCCTAGTTGCGCAAGGCCCATGCTTTCTTTCCTTCGCCTGAACATTGGTATAGCTTTGCCTCGGCCTAGTTGCCCCCGTGTGAAGAAGAAGCATGTGGTGACAGACTGGCAGTGCACGCATTCTGGCCCAGCTGTAACATTATCGTTTTTTTCTCCTATTTCTTTCTTTTCATTTTTCATCTTTTCCATCTTTCCTATCCCGTTTTATTTTTTTCCCTTCCAAATGCTATAGTAGACATTTTATCTCTAATTTGTAGGTCTCATTTGTTTTGTAATTTAAGTCGTTCGTCTTATTTGCATTTTTTTTTATTTTTCAGTTTGTATGCACAAATATAAATGCTGGAAATTCACGTTAGATTAAGGGGGGGGCAGGGAATAAGAGAGAAGAAAATAATCTTAAAGGAAATATTTTTTTTCTTTGACACGGGTAAAAGCGAGCCTTGGGCTTTGGCGTGTAGGTTGGCCTCTGTTCTCTGGGCTTAACTCCACATATTGACTGGCTTAAGAAGGTTTTTTTTTAGCAGAGACTGGCTTAGGTAGTTGAGCCTTATCTAACAACTAATGAGCCGTTGTCGGACTGCAGAAAAAAATACAAATTGAAATTTGGTACCGATTGATTTGTGACCTTATGACGTGCATATTTACTTGGATTTTTTTTTCCAAGAAAGAAAGTAAATTCCCTAGAAAACCAAATAATAGGTGACATGTGAGTCTAGGTAATCCCCAGCTTATAAGCCGTACTTTTTCAACCAACGAACAGTATTTTTCTCTCACAACAAATCAGCCAACAGTACTTTCAATCATGCTTATCAGCCAAGCGAACAGGGCATGAAAATAATCAATGGTAAAGACTGAAAAATAGCCGATGCCTGCAAACTGCAGTAGCCTTCTTCAGCTTTTACGGCATATAAACACTAGCGTCAGCAGCGCTGCAAGTTTCTTTGCAAGAGCTTATGTGTTGTGTGTAAAACAGAGAGATACCAAATACCACCCCTCTGTCTCAAATTATAAGTCATTTTGGTTTTTCTATGTACATAGCTTTGTGAAGAGCGAGATGCTGATGAGTGCATTCCAACAAAATATGGGCTGTCTAGATTGCATCAAGCTCCATAAGTCAGCCACGATGCCATCCTAAATACATATGTAATGGCCGGACTCGAATGACCATAGTAAGAGGTTCATTCAGAACTGCAATTGTACGTTAGATAACCTTAAGACCCACATCACTGGGTCATGAGTTAACTCTACAGACAAACTACTGGAGAGCTAGATACTATTTAGTTACTCAGGCCTTCGTTTTTCATGTACACCCAACTTCAGTACAACTCCGGATCCAACAGTTAAAAGTCACTTGGATGAAAAGCTCAGAAATTCGATGGAGGGTTTAGATGAATGGTTCTACTTAAGTTGTACCCAAAAGCATTTCCCATTCTCTGTCTGTTCTACAGCTTTCTCAGCAACATGTTCTTGTACACATCGTCCATGTGAGATCAAACTAAAACCTGTAGAAACAAGAAAACTCATTAAATATTTCTGAAACTTGGAAACAAAACAAAGGTCCAACAAATAAATAATGTCAAGAAGCTGATCCGGTTCCTCCGGTTCCTGAACCTCAAAAGAGCTACTGAAACTAGTTCTAGATCCTGATTCCTTAAAGTAGTCATCCACTTTGATCACAGGGGTACTGAAACATGCTGAGAGATTTAGAAATGACAATTGACAATGCAAGAGGATCGACTCCCATTTCCAATATAACACCTTCAAAAAAAATTAAGAACCACCTCAAGCACTTGATCCCAAAAAAGAAAAAAAAAACAATCCTCATCAAAGCCCTTCTGATTTTTTTTAGTTGGAAAAGGATAATGCTAGTGTACATGTAAACCTTCCTGACACAATTATCTATGTTTATTACCAATGCAGTTTTGCTTACTTATCCAGCGGTTTCCAAGTGTTCTCAAGGGTCTTATTAGGTTGTTTTGTGCCCAAACTAGCCATACTGAAATTTGGCAATAATAATTCTGTTAAGGTTTCATTACCCTACTACACACACATTAGCGAAGACTTCAATGAATGCCTCGCCGTACCATTCCCTGTTTACCATTTCCAGCTTTATGTACACTTCCACACTCGTGTTGTTACCACCACCACAGATAGGAAACCAGCCAAGGAGTGGCCACTGGCCAGAGACCACCTGTAGCTGCCCAATCCGGTCACTTCCTCACTGACGTGACAAACTCCTAGCAAGTTCACCAGTGTTTAAGACTGCAAACAGCCTCCCAATCTTGAAAATTTTTTGTTAGGCTGCTCCTGCTCTGGCAGCTTGACCTATTTCATCAGCTTTTCATAACAGATACTTGTCCAACAACACCTCCCTCTTGGGGGACAACACCTCCCTCTTGGGGGATGTTCACATTATAGGTGAAGAAGTATTTTCTAAAAAATTATCACTAGCAGTTACAAATAGTAGAAGGATTCACAGAAGCAAAACAGATTTTAACTGCTACTTTAAGGTTCTGTTCAATCTATGACTGTTTTTTATCCAATAGGATCCCCTTTGTTAGCAACACACAAGCTAAACTTGACTGCCATCTCTTGCCTGTATAATTTCTGGACCCCCTAATTATTGCATTTGGTGGCCCACTCCTGATAAGCATAATTCGAACTAACAGCCAAATAATCAGAATTTGTTTAGTATTACTACTAATGTTTTGGGATAAAAAGGATCCTTTAATTTGCAAAAGGATAATGCTAATATACATGTAAACCTTGCTTCCCAACACAGAAGAGGTTTACATGGCATATTCACTTCTCTAAATTTCCAGATATTTTCAAGAGGTTTATTCCCAAACTAGCCATACCCTATACCCAAATTTAGCAGAAAAAAATTGATTAAGGTTCTTATTGCAATATTGCACACAAATTTATTACATAGCAGATCAGTATTGGTGGATTGGTCGAAGATAATTCTGACAGTCACCTTTGTCACTAACAGGTTTGTCCCTGTGGCAGGAGGCTCAGACAGTGCTGATCCTTTAGAGAACTTTGATCTAATTTTTCTTGATCCCTAAACAAAGACTAGGGTACATTTATATCATCTAGGTAAATTAAGAAACTAGGAAATAGGCAACAGACTAGGAGTCTAAGACTAAACTTTTCCTAACACTAACCAACTAGATAACATCACTAAACTAACATCTCTCTTTCCACAACACATTAGCTAAGAATTCAATGAATTCCTCACCACAGCAATATACCATCCTTGTTGCCTCATTCCAGCTTTTTTGTGCAAGTTTAACAAAGAAATCTTTCATAGTTTTACTTCAAAGTTCAAAAGGTAATTTTATCACATATAGCATGCCCTGTCCCTTTATCAAATTAGTTACTCCACCTGGAACTAAGCTTCAAACCACTGAGTCTGGATAGGGCTATCAAAACATGATCAGGACACCTATATCAAACATAAAATTATAAGCCAGCGCATGATAATTTGAAGCATTCTAGGACTCCCAGATGAGAGTAAGACGCCTAAACCGAATTACTCTTGCTGCAAGCTGAACGATCAAGTACAAGAATTTGAAAAATATTTTGCCACCTTTAAGATCATTTACAGGGCAGAAACAAAAGAGATTCTACCGATATACAGTGGTAAACACTTGGTGTATAGCCATAAGCACATGGTATCTCGAGAAAGAGCATATTTACCTGAAAGGATATACCTTCATTGCCCTGCTCATAGACACTTTACGCACAGCAACCCGGTGGTGCCTTCTTCTGAAACAAGGCTCATGTTCTTTGGTCACAGATGATGTGGCCCTTTCATTTTCCCCTTTGTTGAGAAAATGGACATTGGAAGCTGGCCTCTTATTGCCTTCATTCATGGAGTCAACATAATGTGGAACATCTGTTCTTTTGCAGCTGCTTTTACCTGTGCACCCAGCTATCTGAGGTTCCTCCTTGTCACCTATCTGTGTCATCACTTCTTTGTCTGAAGACTTATCTTTTCCCATGGACTCAGCACAAGGTGGAATAGCTGGTTTATTGTTGATGCTTCCTTCACTGCACACACCAGATGTCCATTGTTCCTTCTGGCCACCAGAGAGTTTTACCAATAAACCATGTGAGGAATCATCCAAATTATACAGCAAGGGGCACTGTCCAATTTTGCTTGCTCAATCATACTGCTCTTTTCTCAGACACAAACTTAGGTGTGGGGCTAACAAAATGGGAAAGATTGTCATCACAGTTCACATCGATGTTTCTGTCAGCTTCATCTTCCTCCCTAAACCGTTTCTTCCCTCTTGGCTCCATGATGATGTCTTTTTGTTGATCCCCAGCACGATCATTCCCTTTGTCTTCTGCTACACCAAGATCTGAACTTTCTTGGGGCATGGTAGTTCTACCTTCACTGTGAGCTGAAGCATGCTCAGCACCATCATGAAATTTGTCCTGTTGGTCCATTGGTAGAGTGTCACTACCTCCTGCTGCTAAATCAGAATCTGAACCTTCCTGAGGCATGGTGATTCCATCTTCAAGGTGACCAGAAGCATGCTCAGCACATCCCTGAAGTTTGTCCTCCTGGTTTGGCAGTGGGCGGTTATTGGTGCCTGTTGCTAAATCAAAATGTGAACTTTCCTGAGGCATGGTGATTCCATCTTCGAGCTGAACAGAAGCATGTTCAGCACATCCCTGAAGTTTGTCCTCCTGGTTTGGCAGTGGGCTGTTATTGGTGCCTGTTGTTAAATCAAAATGTGAACTTTCTTGAGGCATGGTTGTTCCATCTTCGAGCTGAACAGAGGCATGCTCAGCACATCCTTGAAGTTTGTCCTCCTGGTTTGGCAGTGGGGTGTTATTGGTGCCTGTGGCTAAATCAAAATGTGAACTTTCTTGGGGCATGGTGATTCCATCTTCGAGCTGAACAGAGGCATGCTCAACACATCCCTGAAGTTTGTTCTCTTGGTTTGTCAGTGAGGTGTCACTGTCACCTGTGGCTAAATCACAATGTGAACTTTCTTGAGACATGCCAATTCCATCTTCGAGTTGGCGAGAGACATGCTCAATACATTCCTGAGGCTTGTCCTCCTGGTTTGCCAGTGGGGTGCCAGTGCCGCTGTCGCCAATGGCTAAATCAATATTTGAACTTTCTTGAGGCATAGTAATTCCATCTTCGTGCTGACATAAAGCATGCTCAACAACTTTATCCTGCTGGTTCTTCAGCTGTCGGATGTCACTGACGCCATTGCCTGAGGCATGATTGCCACCTCCTGGTGCCTCTGCAGGAGGTAACATGTACTGCAAGGAGTCCTCAGCGACGACTGAATGGCCCGCATTTGGTTCAGCATCAGCAGTTCCACACTTGGCATCCTTGCAAGCAGGTGGATGAGGACGAAGCTCGTGAGCCTCAACCAGGAGGCGCCTTGGCCCCTTGACCCACTCGAAAGCAGCTTCCACGACCACGGAATCAGTGAGCTGAAACCAGGAACCATCCAGCTCAATCTGCGAAATGAAACAGTGCCAATAGATGAAGCCAAAAGAAACGAAATTTTCCACAACGGGGCAACCAAAACAAAATTAGCGGCTAAAGATTAATCTTTTGACACCCGCATTGTTATTCCGGCACCATACCTGCAAGGATGAGACGGCGATTGGCCCGGTGCAGGGGAAACACGCGGCATGCTCCGCGCTCACTTGGCCTGCGGGTTCAATTTGGGGTTCAGGGTGTCAGTTCGTGTGTTTTTTTTTCCCAGCGATGCCGCACAAATCAGGAGGAATGCAGAGGTAAAGGGATCGATTTGCAACAGAATCGCCATAAACAAGAAGCGAGGGGAAAAAGGCGGATTTTTTTTCTCTAGATGGGGAGAGTGAGGAGAAAGGGGAGGAAGATGGAGAGGCACGCACGCTTGAGGTCGGCGACGGTGGTGGCGCGGGCGGGGAAGGAGAGGACGAGGCGGGTGCCGAGGCTCGTCTCCATGAAGACCGTCGCCGTCTCGGCGGCGGCCATCGCCGACGCGGACACGAGGCAGGGTCGGTTTCCCCTGCGCGGCACGAATCGCCGCTTCCCTGGTCGGCGGAGAAAACCCCAAGGTTCGCTGTTTACAGGTGTGCTGCTGCAGGCAAACCTCCGTTTGACTAGTTGGACAATTTTTTTTTTTTTTGAGCAAAGTTCACTGGCGGTGCTTAAAACTTGTGTGAGTGTGTCATCCCAATCCCTAAACTCTCAAAACACTCATTTGGGTTCCTAATCTCTTATCAGGTCTCAATCCCATCCAAACTGGTCAATTCCCTCTCTCTGCCCCCGTTTCCCGAGCTCCCTCCGTCATCTCTCTTCCCAAACAGAGCAGCGGCGCACGTTGGCACGTGGGCTGCGGCAGCGCGGCGAGCAGCGCTCTGCATGCGGGGAGGGGTTGTGGCAAGCAGCACGCGAGGGTGGCGGCGACGGCGCGCGTGCTCCTCGGCTCGATACCCGGCCATGCGCACGACAGAGGGAGAAGCCGAGCCTGAGCGTGGCCTAATCGAGGATGAAGATGACGGTGCTCCCCCGACCATCTTGAGGATGGCGACGCTATCCTTGATGCGGATGTAAGACAGGAGCTGGGTGACCAAGTCAAAAGTGCGTGTGATGGTGCTGTCGGCGAGCAAGCAGCCGCTTGTCAGCCGAACTGCTGAAGCCGGCTAACTGAACTCAAGTTCAGTTACGACCTTCTCTGTTTTTAGAAAGGCATTACGACCTTCTCTGTTATTCAGCAATTTACTCCCAATTTTGTATGTAATCAACCTGATAAGCCTTAATAAAACTTATTCAATGGGCTATGATCTACAACATTGTTTTAAGAACTAAGGTCTAATTTTTACTGGTTTGGAAGATCTAAAGCCTCAAAGTTTGACAAAAATTCTGCATACCAAGCGTCAGTTTCAGAGTTGCAATTCAGTTTAGGAGGACAAACTGGAACGCGACATCCACGAGCGGCAGGAACACGAGGCCGAGGTCTGCAGGACCGGGCCGGCGAGCGGGCGTCAGAGAGAGAGGATGGAGATGCGCCGGCAGCGGCACGGGCGACCTCTTCCAGCAGGGACGAATCCACGCGATGAACTGGGCCTGCTGCTTCCCGATGAACAGCTCAACCAACCGCCAGGACGCCTCTGCGTCGTCCATCCCCAGCTTCCCGGCGACGCCGTCCTCGTCGTACGGCCCGCTGCTGCGCCGCCGCTGGTCTTCTCCAACATGCCTCGCTGCTGGGGCTGGACGCGCACCACCGTCTTCACGTGCACCCACGAACACCTCTAGACTCTGGCGGCTCCTCCTACCCGGTGGTCGGTGGTGGCAGCAGCGTTGGGCCCAGGAACAGGTACTGCAGGGCTTCAACGTCATCGGAATTTGGCGAGCTGGATGGGTTCGCGGAGGAGGAGGTGTATGAGGCGGCTACGTCGAGTCGGAAGAGCACGGCGAGGCTGATCACGATGACGTTGGCATCGGCGGCTTGGGTGGGCATGCGCCGGCGTGGTGACAAGTCTGAGAGGAGGACGCGGGTACCGGGTCAAAGACCGTTTGGATGGGTAAACGAGACCCAAATCAAGTCTATGAACCTATATGACCATTCTGTAAATTTAAGGACCGGGATGACACACTCACACAAGTTTAAGGACCGCTGGTGTACTTAACTCTTTTTTTTTTATTGAATCGACTAGTTGCGCTTACTATATGGGATAAGTACTACCGGTCTTTGGTGCCCCGGTTTTCATTTGGGAAAATTGGTTCTATAACATCGAAGAGCGGTAAGAATCGGAAAATACCATCAAAAGAGTCATGTTACGTAAAATACCATTGAGAGATGAAAACGTTACCTGAGAATAGCATTTCGTCATGTTGTCACGTTTGGAGGTAACGGCGTCCACTTCCCAGGGGGGGGCGCCCGCGTCGCATGGAAGCCATGGACGTCAAGTACAAGCCCGTCATGTTCCCCAATGGCGCCGCCCTCAAGAAGCGAGTGAAGCCGTGGTAGTGGCGCCGGCCGGGCCGGGGAGCCATTTGACTGGGGAGTGCCTCAAGAACCACGCTTGAGTTCGGGCGGCACGCCGTGGACGGGTGCGACGAGTTCATGCCTCGCCAGGCCAACTCGGCCGACCCGACGCGTTGCTCAAGGCGCCATGTGCGGTGTGCCCGCAATTTCCACCACGGACGGTGGAGTGTCCCCGCTTACACGGCTGTTGGCGCGTCCGGCCCGGCGCCGCCACCGAAGCGTCTTTGCCGCGGCCACCACACCATGGGCGGGGAGGAGACACCGAGGACCGCCACCACCACCCGGGGTCGCCGACGCCGATGACTCCGATTCCGACTCGGAGGGCTCGAGTCGACGAGGAGCGGTTGGTGTCCCCACCCCGCCGTCGCACCACCACATGCCGGCACCGGTGGCGCAACAACCCCCACCGCCGCCGTCAGCGATCGGCGACGGCGCGCGACATGTTGCTCTCGCTTGGCTCGCGGCGCGCGCCGGGGCTGCGGTGGCGGTGATCAGCGGCAGAGGTTACAGCCCCAACCGCCCAAAGAATGACGCCGTCGAGCACGCCGCCCACCAGGGGCGCGATGCCGATGCCCAGGAAGCGGTTCGGCACCAAGTTCACCGCCGAGAAGAAGTAGCGGATACAGGAGCTGTCGGAGCGGCTGCAGAAGCGCGACGAGGCCATCGTCGACGAGTGGTGCCGCAACATCGGCGTCGGCAAGGGTGTCTTCAAGGTCTGGATGCACAACAACAAGCACAACTTCTTGGGCTGCCACAGCGCCCGCCGCAGCGCCTCCGCCTCCGCAGGCGCCGTGTCGCTACAAACCCCAGGCGGCGCTGCTGCACCGTCGTCATTCAACCCGTCTAGGATCACCCCTCCCCCTCCCGTCCTCACCTCGTCCCCGACCAGCGCCACCGGCTTCAACATCAACGGTGCCGCCTCCTCGGCGCCCACCGTCACTGCCGACCACACGGACAACGCCAAAGGAGCTTCATCGCCACAGTCCGCTTAAACTAGAGAAGAGAGAAGAGAGGGAATGGAGAAGGGAAGTGGACGTCGTTACCTCCAAACGTGACAACGTGATGAAATGCTATTCTCAGGTAACGTTTTCATCTTTCAATGGTATTTTACGTAACAGAACTCTTTTGATGGTATTTTCCGATTCTTGCCATCTTTCAATGCTATAGAACTAATTTTTCCTTTTCATTTCTGTCTGGTAAACCAACCTCTTGGAAACTATCAATCAGGGTCACTAGATGCAGATCCAATAGATAAGGTGAGAGTTGGGATTTTTTGCGCTTAAGCCCCCCACCCGCCGGCCTTTTTTTTGTGCTTAAGCCCCCTCACCCTATCTATTGGATCAGCATCTAGTGGTCCTGATCGGTAGTTTTCAAATTTGTACTGGTTGGTTGGTTTGCACCTGATATGTTACATGTCTGTCTTTTCTGATAACGAGGATTCCATCCTAAAATTGAGATATTTAAATATTTATTATAATTTATTTAAAATATAAAATATTTAGGTGAATAATTTTTTTTAAATACCAATCATACATATAACTATCATAAGTGTCAACCATTTAAAATATAGTAAGCACGAGATTTTTTCATAGTTAAGCGTGGGCTACATGAGGTATTTGGTTTATGCAATGATTTGTCCTAAAATTTCTAGGATACTGACCCCATCATTTTTTGAATTTTGAGCTAATTAATGATCCAATAGTGAAGGGTTATCATTGTCAGCCCGTTACAAAACAAATTTCTATGATGCCAACCCTCATCATTTTTCGAATTTTCAGGTAATGAATGACCCGACAGTGAAGGATTATCACAGTCGACTCATTAGAAACTGACAATTATGGCCGATGGTGATTGCCAGTTCTGTAGAAGAAGAGACATAGCCCTTAAACAGCCTCTATACACATGGGGTGTGTTTGGTTTGAGGACAAGGGTGGATAGGATAATGGCCATCCATGGATTTTGGGATATAGATATCCACGTTATTCCATTTGGTTGAATGGATAAGGTGAGCTATTTTTCTGTTTGGTTGGATGGATAAGATTGGATGGAACGAGAATACTTGACTAATTATATTTATAATTTAAAAATAATACCAACTATTTGTACATTAATAAATATGCACCAACACTAATCTTGTCATTATAATCACTAATTAAAAATAAAAATATTTTAATTAGCACTATACTACTCTAATTGTCACACAAAACATGCGCTAATCAATATGTGGATATCCTCATCCGCCAGATTTTTTAAGGCCATGATATCTAGCATCTACTCAGAATATTCTTTATTGTGGATATCCAGGTTCAGCTTATCTATCTAACCAAACACCATGTATCCATGGATATCCGGATATCCATTGAACCAAAAACACCCATGGGGGATGAGCCTAGACGGATTCAAAGGAGGTAAAAAGGTAAGCTGGCACCTAGACTACCGGTGTTAGTCCCACACATTTTACCTATTTGACCTTCTAGACCCACGCATTTACATCTTGTGCCCTTACAGCCTTGTTGACTGTTGCCTTGTCCATTGCACTACTCTGTTCGCTTGTCTTATAATCCGTACTTTTTCAGCGAACGAACAATATTTTTCTCTTACAACAAATCAACCAACAGTACTTTCAGTCATGACTTATCAGTCAAACGAACGGAGCCTTAACTCACAAAAGGTGGCCCATGACATCGCATCCCGTCATATGGCCATGGCCAAGGCCAGGGGCGCGTGCCGCGCGTGTGGCTCCCCAAAACTTCCCTTCTCAACTTGCCTATAGAAACACACACTAGCTTCCTATTGAAATTAAGCACTTTACTATTGGGTTTCTCATTAGATACTAATCCCCTCCCACTTAGTACTAATTATGTGCCTTTGAAATTCTTTGATTAATTAGTAGACTAAATAGGACAAAACCCAATTAATCCAACATAAACATGGTCCGCACCGCATTATTTTTTATTTTATTAGATTAGAGTTCCAAAGAGCC